GCATATGAATGGGCTGGCCCTTTGCTATCTAAAATTACCTAACAAACTGCAGCTGGGTCAGAAAGACCCAGAACATCCAAAAGAAGGCCCAAGGCCCCACAGCAGCTTGCATTGCTTCACAGCTGGGCCTCATCTGGGCACCTCCAAACCCCAAACAAGGAAGAGGAACCTGGAGATCTCTCCATAGCTCCTGCTGGGTAGCCTCAGGCAGAGGCTAAATTAGCACCTCCTTAGGGATCCAAGAGCCTGTGTACCCAGTGGTCAGATTGGGACCATCCAGATTACAACTCCGCAGATCCATAAGGGACACACTCAGGGGGCAGACTCAGTGAGCACCAAAGCCCCACTGAAGCAAGTCTTGCCCCAGAAGGGTGTCTTCAGCACAGAAGTTCTCCCACTGTAGACACAGCTGATTCTCACAGCCAATTGGCCTGGAGGTCAATTCCTCCCAGTGATACCTACAACAATCAAGGCTTAACTACAAGACTGTGCACACAGCCCACAAAGGGGTGCACCAAGAGTGTCCACCCCAGGTAATTGGGGAGGCTGAGCCACTGGGCCCTAAAAGGACACCTAGCACAGAAAGCCACTATATCAACACAGGGAAGCATAAAAAATGCAAAGACAAAGAAACAGATCACAAATGACAGAAATGGAGGAAAGCAAACTACTGGATATAGAGTTCAAAACCACGGTTGTAAGGTTTTTCAAGAATTTTCTAGAAACCGCCGATAAATTTAGTGAGACCCTCGAGGATATGAAAAAGGACCAACTAGAAATTAAGCATACACTGACTGAAATAAAGAATATTATACAGAGATCCAACAGTAGACAAGAGGATCTCAAGAATCAAGTCAAAGATTTGAAATACAAAGAAGTAAAAAACACCCAACCGGAAAAGCAAAAAGAAAAAAGAATCCAAAAATATCAAGATAGTCTAAGGAGCCTCTGGGTCAACTTCAAGTGCACCAACATCCGAATTATAGGGGTGCCAGAAGAAGAGAGAGAGCAAGATATTGAAAACCTATTTGAAGAAATAGTGACAGAAAACTTCCCCTACCTGGTGAAAGAAATAGACTTACAAGTCCAGGAAGCACAGAGAACCCCAAACAAAAGGAATCCAAAGAGGACCACACGAAGACACATCTTAATTAAAATGCCAAGGGCAAAAGACAAAGAGAAAATCTTAAAAGCAGCAAGAGAAAAAAAGTCAGTTACCTTCAAGAGAGTACCCATACCATTGTCAGCTTATTTCTCAACAGAAACTATGCAGGCCAGAAGGGAGTGGCAAGAAATATTCAAAGTGATGAACAGCAAGAACCTACAACCAAGATTACTTTACGGAGCAAAGCTATCATTCAGAATTGAAGGTCAGATAAAGAGCTTCACAGATAAGAAAAAGCAAAGGAGTTCATCACCATCAAACCAGGATTATATGAAATGCTGAAAGGTATCCTTTAAGAAGAAGAAGAAGAAGAAAAAGGTAAAGATAAAAATTATGAACAATTACATATCTATCAACAAGTGAATCTAAAAATCAAGTGAATAAAAAATCTGATGAACAGAGTAAACTGGTGAATATAATAGAATCAGGGCCATAGAAAGGGAGTGGACTGACAATTCTCAGCAGGGAAAGGGGTGGGGTGGTGGGAAGAGACAGGACAAAAATCGTACACCTATGGATGAGGACAGTAGGGGAGGTAAGGGCAGAGGGTGGGTTGGGAACTGGGTGGAGGGGAGCTATGGGGGGGGGGAAAAGGAACAACTGTAATAATCTGAACAATAAAGATTTATTTTAAAAAAATAAATTACAGTAAAAAAAAAAGAACCAGTCATCTATTTAGTGCTTCAGATTCTGATTCGTGCCTCTGATTTTGTAATAACTTTGCCTTTCTTTGTCTTAAGAGGAAGTGTGATTAATAGACAAGTGTTTCAGTTCTAATCAGGATTTCTATTTTGCTTCTTTTGCTGTAGGAATGAAAAGGTGTGTTACAGTATAAAATCCATTTTTCTACTTAGATGAATGGGTGGGAACATTTGGGATTATGATTCGTTGTTAACCTTAAAAGGAAATAGCAATACCTCTAGGGGGGAGAAGATAGAAAAGTGGCAAAGATTTGGAGCAATAAATATGAGGAATTGGATGGACAGTTATCAAGAGGTGACGGAAAGGATTGATAACATGGAAGAAGTACTAAGAACACCAGGATAATATCTCTGAGCACAATTTTTAGCCCAGTAGAAGAAAGAGGGAAATTGGAGGCTACTGTAAGTCAGGGAGTGGGGAGATCATGTGGCTATGAATTCATAGTGGAAATGGTAGACTGTGAGCTCTAGACTGCAAGGAGAAAATGAAAGCAATCAAATTTTTAAAATACGTAACTACTTCTTTCTTAATATGTATTTCATGTGTTTATTACAGAATGAAACTGTCTTGTTGGTGTTTTGCAAATGTGAGACTCCTGCCCTTTTAAATGAAAGTAACAAGATCTTTTTCAAGAAATGTCTTTCCTTTGAGAGGTTGAGTGAGATGGTAGAGTAGATTAAGTTCCAGTATTTTTTCGGAGAAGACTTTTCAGTCTAAAAGTCCTCTGAAACAGACTGAAATTTTTTCTGTTATTGTTATTCCTCCTTAATGTTTGTCTCTCCATAATCATAATCAATCAAAAAATTTTATTTATAAAAGCAACCTTTCTATGATCACTGGAGCATATTCTATAGTCATGCACCACATATCAACGTCTCAGTCAGTGACAGACCACATATACAACAGTGGTCCCATCCTATATAATAAAAGGGCAATATGCAAATAGACCAAACTGCAGAACCAAACAACCAATCAAAGCGTAATATGCTAATGATATGCTAAGGCTGCTCAACTGCTCACTATGATGTACACTGACCACCAGGGAGCAGAAGCTCTGACCGGTAGGTTGCCTCACTACTGGGGTCAGGCCAATCAGGACTGAGCAAGATGGACCCGACCCGACTTGGAGCCCTCCCGTGGTCCCTCCCCAGCCTGATCGTGCACTCTTGGGATCCCTCAGGCTGGCCTGCACCCTCTCGCAATCCAGGACCCCTTGGGGGATGTCAGAGAACCGGTTTCAGCCTGATCCCACAGGCCACTCCCCTTGGGAGGGCGCCAGAGGCAGGGCTTATGGCTGGTGAGCGCTGCTGTGAGCCTCTCCCGATTGGGACTGGTTGGGCACAAGCCCACAGTAGGCACAGTGGGGCCAGGATGAGCAGGAGCAGCAGGTAGGAGGTTGGACTGTGGTTTTGGCCTGATCCCTGCAGGCCACTCAGAGGGACCCTACCTGTGCACATATTTGTGCACTGGGCCTCTAGTAGGATTATAATGGAGCTGAAAATTCCTATTGCATACTTGCATCATAGCCATCACAATGTAGTAGTGCAATGCAGGTGTAAACATACTTACTGCGCTGCCAGTTGTATAAAAGTATAGCACATACAATTATGTATAGTACATAATACTTGATAATGATAAAAGACTATGTTATAGGTTTATGTATTCATTATACTATACTTTTTATCATTTAGAATGTATTCTTTATACTTATAAAAAATAGTATGCTTGTGTTACACCAGCAGCAGCCTCATATATCTTGTGTGTGTTATATCTTTTGCATGCATCATTTTCTCTCGTGCTTGATATAATCTCATGTTGTTTTGTTCATCACGGGTCCTAATCCTACAAAATCCACTGCTAATGTTGTCAGTAAGAGGCCATGTCCAGTGATTGACCTGGAAACGAAATTAAAAGTGATTATAGACGACGATGGTAGAAAATCCATGATGGTTATTGGTCACAGGTCAGGCATGTTCCTTTCACCACAATTGTGATCTTAAAGAACAAGAACTAAGTGGCTTGAGCTGTTAAAGTGTCAGCTTCTTTGAAGACAAGGAGACTAACAAAAAGTCAAGCAGAGAGAAACTTCTAATGACATGGATTGAAGGGCAAACATAGAAGCTATCCCACTCAGTCCTGTGGCAATCACAGCCAAAGCAAAAAGTTTGTGATGTTGAAAGAAAGGGCTAGACCCTACTACAATGTTGAATTTTCTACTAGCTCTGGGTGATTTAAACAAGTCAAGGACCATTATTCATTGCATAATGTGAAAGTGGTAAATCTGCAAGTGTCGATAGGAAGGCAGCTGGATCATTTTTGGGTATCTCAGAATTTTTCTCTTGTCATGTATAATTGGGTACACATGGACATTTTCTGGGGAACAGACTTGACTTCTAGGTGAACTTTTGGGCTTATTGTACAAAATTATTTCTATTTGTAAACTATGTATTTCTCTCTATGAGATTAATAAGAGGCATTTAAGACATTTGTAGAATTTAGACAGGAAACTATGCAAGGGCCTATGCTGAAGTCTCCTTAGCTGAGGCAAAGGCTGAAAGATCATAGCAGTAATGACTAAGGATTGCCCAATAGTAGCAGCAAGATATGCTCCAGTCAGCTGAGGCTAGGATCCTTAAAGTCTTAGTGTCAAAGGAACACACTAAAAAAAAAGCTTACTTACAAATCCAGGGCCCTGCCTCAAAAAAGGAGGTTGCTGGGAAAATGTTGTTTTGAAATTATGGCCACTGATAAGAGCAATACAACCATGGCTCTTCAGGTAAGCAGCTAGCTGTCTTTTTGCAATTCCAGGAAACTAGAAAAATGAATATTAATCAGGTCCTTCCTTCATCTTGTAAATCAGTGTTCTGGTAGTTGAAGATCAGTCAATGCTGATTTTTACAGAAAATAAATCAGTGCTTTCCACATTCTTGAAAGGTGAGCACAGGCACAGTTCTATATGTCGATCAAAAGGAACATTCCAAGTATTTATTGAATGATTATCAGAAGTATAATCATTACTTCCAGTACTTTGGGAGATAACGAAGAGTTATGAGATAGCCTTTATTCTTAAGAACCTTCACCTATTTCTCATTTTCATGTTTATGTTTTTTGTCTTGTCTGTTTGTCTTTAAAGGATTGTGAAGAATCACAGAACAATGCTGGCGATCCTGTTGGAGATGACTACAAAAAGATGGGAACACTTTTTGGTGAGCTGAACAAAAACCTCATCAACATGGGCTTTACGAGGATGTACCTTGGAGAACGGATTGTGGAACCAGTGATCGTCATTTTCTTTTGGGTTATGCTGTGGTTCCTTGGCCTACAAGCCTTTGGACTAGTTGCTGTTCTTTGCCTTGTCATTATTTATGTACAACATTAAAATATGGCCGAATGAGCTGTTGGTTGACATTTGGTAGCCATATAAAAAATAATTAGTGAAGTTATATATTTCACTACATGAAAGCCAAAAAGTTTGCCTTGTTTCAAATTGTGTGCTGTTTTATAATATAATTATAAGTGGATATTGTTTAAAATAAAACTCAACTCTTGATTATAACAGGGTTCAATATACATCTTGTAGCTTATTCAAAACTCTTGTTTTAATACTATAATCTGTGCCCATTTTTAAATATCCCTATTTCCATGCCAAATCTTAAATACCACCACCAAGTGAGCAGGGAAAATAACAGGATATGGAGTTCAAATTGGGCAATATAGGTCTTATAAAGAGCTCCAGTAAAATATGTTAGAAGAAAAATGATGAAACAATAAGCTAAAAATAAGTTGTACTTGGGGAATTTCTCCCTACCCACTCCCACCAAATAACCCCATATTATTTGGGAAATAATTTGGACTTCTATTGTCCCTGCTCAGCCCAAACCATTGTATATGATAATTACTATACACTACCTTAACGTTTTTATGAAAATCAGTAAAGTTAGCACATCTACAGATTGACAATAATATATTTATTATTGCTTGGGAAACTTCCCAAGTTAAATATAACTTTTTTACAATGAAACATGTGGGCCTGAAATCACTTCAGTATATCATTTGAAGTTTTAGATAATTTTGGTGCTAATTACTTTTTGTGAGTTTTTAAAGTCTCCTAAGCCAGATCCATAGTTAGTTGTACCCCATAGTAATGCTATATTTTCTTGTACCTAACAAGTTGCATATTTTTTCCTAGAGAGACATTTGCAGTGTTTTTGTTTTTTCAAAATTTATATTTTATAGTTCTTTTATAAAAATTATTGTAAGACTTTAAAAATCAATTTATCTTGGCATGAATTACTTTTTCCCCCAAAAAATTGATTTGTATTATAGCTGAAATACTTAACTATTGTTTTTTTTTTTGGGGGGGGGGGGGGTCAGTTCATTTCTTTGATATATGTATTGGAAATTACAGTATTACAGAATAAAAACCAAATGCTTAAATGGAATTTAACAGCCAATTGTAATAATATTCCTCTAAGGCTAAAGTGGAATTATTAATGTGTCTTCATTCAGCACTTTGGAAATTTATATTGAAACTAGAGGCCCAGTGCATGAAATTCGTGCATGGGAGGGGGAGTCCCTCAGCCTGGCCTGCACCCTCTCCAATCTGGGACCCCTCGGGGGATGTCCAACTGCCGGTATAGGCCCAATCCCACAGGAACAGTCAGACATCCCTCTCACAATCCAGGGCCACTGGCTCCTAACCGCTTGCCTGTCTGCCGGTCTGATCACCCCCAACTGCTCCCCTGTTGGCCTGATTGCCCCCTAGCTGCCCTCCCCTGCCATCATGATCACCCCTAACTGCCTCTACCTACTGGCCTGATCACCCCCTAACTGCTCCCCTGCCAGCCTGATTGTCCCCAACTGCCCTCCCCTGCCAACTTGATCACTCCCAACTGCCCTCCCCTGCCAGCCTGATCACCCCCAACTGCCCTCCCTGCTGGCCTGATTGCCCCCTACTGCCCTCCCCTGCCAACCTGATCACCCCCAACTGCCCTCCCCTGCCAGCCTGATCACCCCCAACTGCCCTCCCCTGCTGGCCTGATCACCCCTAACTGCCTCTGCCTTGGCCCCTGCCACCATGGCTTTGTCTGGAAGGACGTCCGGAAGATATCTGGTCTAATTAGCACATTACCCTTTTATTAGTATAGATAAGCATTTCTTTAAATATACTTTGAAAATGGAAAATGGCTTAGTGACATTTTAGATTTTTGTCAGAGAACCTAAAATTTTTACACTTTTGTCTCAAAGAGTTTCTATATATACAAAGGAGAGGTAGTTAAGATAATTATCTAAAAATTCAAGTTAAATAAGAGGAAAATGGAACATTGGGGCATTTTTACCTTTGGCAGGGCAATCACTAAATGATGTAAAGTGTATACTAGTCCACTTTGTGAATTTTTTACCCAATCCTGTTTTTTAAATTTATTCTATAAGTTCTCCATGTTTTCTATTCTGAAGCAGAAAATTAATGAAAAATATTCAAGTTAGATTTTTTAAATCAGATAATCCTGAACAAAAATACCAGTCATTGGGTACTAAAACATATTGTACATTTTTATAAATATAGGCCTTTTAAAGTTTGACTTTGAAAAAAGATTTTGTATTATACCATTGTGTTTTCATTGGGCTTGCGGTATGTTTATGGTCACCTTTATAAATTCGGCCAAGTGTAAGTTATTTGAAAAGCTGTCTTCATTTGTGCACAGTGGAATTGTGAAGTTTTTAATAGGAGCCATGAGATTTTTTATACCTGCATTAAATATTAAAATGTGCATTCTTTTTTATGCTACCAGGAATTTTAATTTCCCTTTGGAATGTGAAAAATACATAGTATGCATAATAACAACTCTGGTTCCACCAGTGCCTGATGTTGAAAGTATTTTAAAAGTAAGTTTTAATAGTAATTATTTAGTATACTAACAATACTATGTTTCTGCACAATGTGTTAATAGTGTATATATTAAATTATATAAAGAAATTAGATATTCTGCTGCTATTCTTTCTGCATATATTATTCGTTACATCAGTATACCATCAAAGTGTTTGCTTTGATAGGGAAAAGGCAAACTTTGCTTATTTGCTGGAAATAAAATATTTTTTAATGAAATATATTAGAATGCAAAGTATTCTGATACCCCAAAAATGAAAAGAAACTGGTCATTTCTTTGGTTCATGATATAAAGAAGTAGATTGAAAATGATTCTTAATTATTTCAATTTCATATACAAATCAATTTTAGAAACTTATCACTTATAAAAAAACATACATAAGTTGACAAATACTAAGTTATTGACACATTACTCATACCACCAGCTTTCGATTCAAAGGCAAAAGATCTACAAATAAACTGAATATAGGTGAATCAGTTTTCACCAGAATAAAAATTCAGTATTAGAATTTACTCTCCTCACATCCTAAGCTGTTATATACAAGGTAATTTCCCATTCCTGGCGACCAGTCAGACCACTCTTGGTCCATTAATGTGCTGGAGCTAGCTCACGCTGGCTTGCAAACGCCAACTGTGTACATTTCCCCTACTCTGTTTTCAGTGACATTGAGTTGGGAGCTTGCAATTGTCGGTGGTGGTTGTGGTGGTGTTTATACTTTAAAAATTGACAAACACAACAAACCAGGGCTCTTTTTTCCCGGCCAGCCAATTGTTAAACATATATCTGCACACCAGTGATTAGCCACTCTGGAGACCACATGCCCATTTCTACTCCCACAGATACAAAAGGAAGTATATTAAGGCAAATCACCCTGGGCCCATCCAAAAATGTATTTGGATCTTTTCCATGTGGAAATTATGGACCAGGGTCATCTTTTGACAGACATATTTTTGTTTAGTCAGACATTTTGATCAGAGAAAATCTCTCCTGGCTGTCACTGAGCTGCAAATCTATTAAAGACAATCAGAAATAAGAAACAGCCACAGAACTGATGGAGGGCAAATTGCAGCATGAGTAAAGATTTGTTGTAGAGTAGAAAGCTCAGCATAGCCAAAGCTAGGTATTGAGCAACCAAGGGATGTTTGTTTGGTTTGTAGATTAATTTTAAATGCTTTCATTGCCAATTTATGGCTTTGTACGGTAAGAGAAGGGCAAAAATCAAATAAGACTTTCATAGCTGTTAGTACTTCTGGTAATAGAGTTGGCCAAGGAGAATATAAAATAATGTACAAATTATGGCTTCAAAATTATTGCTGAACTGAGAGCTCCTATTTCTCTCCCTCACTGTGGTGTTCCTTAGGGTTTTTCCCAACAGCCTGTTCTCTCATCACTACACGTTGCTTTGGGCAACATCACCGCTCCCAGGGCTTTAGTTACCATTTCATACTAAGAACTCTCCAGTCTGCATCCCCAGTAAAGAGCACTGCACAGAGTATCAGACCTAAACATTCACTTGCTTGCCCAACATTTGTACTTGCTTTTCCCTTAGTACCTCAAATTCAGTCTGTTCAAAAAAGGAACTCAGGATCCTTCTCCTAAACCCTTTCTTCTTTCTGTTTCCAATCTCAGCAAATGGCAGAATCCCCTCCCACCCTGCCCATCTATAAAATCAGTCACTAAGTCCTGCCTATTTTAATTCCTAAAATGGTACTCTTTTCACTTCTCCCCATTCCCACTATACCATCATCATCATCTCACCTAGATTGCTGTCTCAGATTTCTCAATGGTCTCTCTGCCTTCATTTTTACAGTTTATAGTCAGAATAATCTTTCAAACAATAACTTTGATCTCCAGGGCCTAAATCTTTTCAGTGGCTTCCTGTTGCCATATGATAAAGTCCTTTACTCCTTAATATGTTTTACAAGGCCCTTCGTGAACTGGTTCTTTCATATTTCCTCTCCTTATATTACCACCCTCCCTTTCCAAGACTCAGCAATACTGAATTTATTTTTCAGTTCCACCTGAGAGAGAAATGCTTTCTCACTTAGAATTCTACACATGCTTTACCTGTATAGAATGTTAACGCCTCCCCACCAACAGGTCCACAGCTTGAATGTCTCCACAGACATCATGTCCTCCAGGAGAATGTCTCTGACTCCTTCCAATCCAGAGAGCCCTGTACTTCCCCTATCAGTATTTGTCATCCTCTGTTGCAGTAGCTTATGTGGCAGTTTCTTCAATTAGACAGTCGGCTTCACAAGGGCAGAAAGCATGTCTGTCTTATTCCTAATGGCATTGCCTAACACAATTCTAGCATATAATACGTGTTCAGATTATCTGTCAAGTGAACAAGTCAACTTCATGCATTCTTGCTCTCCCTATAGTGCATCAACAAAGAAGATCTAGAGTGGGTTGTACATTAGAGATTTTTTACTCCAAAAATATATATATTGTGCATTAAGAAAGTGAATAAATGTATGTTACCATTTATAATGTTTATTCATTTTGATGGAAGAATATTAATGAGATATATATATAATATATATATTATATATATAATATATATATAGTCTTGCTACCATACACTTACATTTTATTTTTTAGGAGAAAATGTACTCTTTTGAAAAAATTTTTCTAATTTTCCGATTACAGTTAACATACAATATTGTATTAGTTTCAGGTGCAAAATAGGGATTAGACATTTACATACTTATGGAGTGATCACCCTGATAATCTGGTACCCATTTGGCACCATACATTGTTATCCTATCTAATAAAGAGGGAACATGCTAATTGACCCTCATGCCATCACAACATGGTGGCGCCCACAGCCAATAAGGCAGGAATATGCTAATTGACTGCCACGCCCTCAAAGATGGCAGTGCCCACAGCCAATAAGGAGGGAATATGCTAATTGACTGTCACGCCCTCAAAGATGGTGGCGCCTACAGTCACAAGATGGCAGCACCCAGTCCCCTCGGCCCCATCGGGGTGGCAGGCGCACGCCTGCCTCCAGAGTCCCCCAGTCCCCTCAGCCCCCCAGCCGCCCAGGGCTGGCCCGAGGTGCAGGCAAGCCTCAGATGTTGGCTGCCCAGCCGCCCAGGGCCTCCCGAGGCTCAGGTAACCAGGGCCAGCCAGGCTTGTGCTGCCGGCAGTGGCAGCAGCAGAGGTGTGATGGGGTGTCGCCTTCCCCTGATCAACAGGTCACCTCCAACCCCTGAGGGCTCCTGGACTGTGAGAGGGGGCAGGCCGGGCTGAGAGACCCCCCTCCAGTGCATGAATTTTCATGCACCGGGCCTCTAGTTACAATATAATTGACTTTACATCCCCATGACTGTTTTTATAGCTGCTAGTTTGTGCTTCTTAATCCCTTCTCTTCAATGTTGTACTTGATGGAATCACTATTTCTCCAGAAAGGATCATTTAGAATTCTTTATGGTCACTGATGCTACCTAAATTTCATATTTTTCCAGTATTTTTAATAGACCTTTGTCTACTAAATTTTAATCTTTTAAAAAACTTAGAAGTGTGAGCAGGAATTCTCAAGAATCTAA